AAGAGTAATGGTTAACCTTGGAGTGGATTGACTGGGAAGAGGGAAAAAGAGTCCTTCTGAGATGCAGGAAATATTCTATATTTTGGTCTGGGTTGTGGTTATGAAGATGTGCATACATGGGAAAACACTGGTATATGTAAGGTGGAGCTCAATTTAAAAATGAATAACATCAATTAAGATTTTAAAGACACTGGGCCTCCCCGGTGGCGCAGCGGTTGAGCGCTGGGTTGCGAAGCTGCCCGCAGCCTCTGCAGCGCCGGTTCGATCCCCGGCTATTCCCTGGCCACCGGAGAAGGGTCCCACATGGCGCGCAGACCTCCCCTGCCGCCCGCTGCTCCCCTCAGCAGTGTACTTTGGTCCTTCTACCTGCTCTGCTTCCCGCTCTGGCTCTGGTGAATTCTCTCACCCTCCTGCGCTTCTGACTGTACCCAGTGCTTGTATAAATAAATAAATAAATCTTTAAAAAAAAAAAAAAAGATTTTAAAGACACTATGGCATCAAATTGGCTTGAAGTGGCAAATGCAATTGAATAAAATTGTTGCACACTCAAAGCCCAAGAAAATTATTTAAAAGGTGTGTCTTTGGGGCCTCCCTGGTGGCGCAGGCAGTTGAGTGCTGCACCGTGAAGCCATCTGCAGCCTCTGCAGCGCGGGTTTAATCCCAGCCAGCTGGCGAGAATCCCACATGGCGAAGTAGACCTCTCCTGTCTCGCCTGCTGCTCCCCTTAGCAGTGTATTTCATCTGTTTGCCTGTTCTGTTCCCCACTCTGTCTCTGGTGAATCGTCTCACCCTCCCGCGCATCTGGCCTGTACCCTGGTTCTTGTATAAAAATAAATAAATCTTTAAAAAAAAAGTGTCTTTGGAATTGTCTAATTCTAGCAATGAAGTTGACTTAGTGTAGGGGTAACTATCAATAGAATAATATGGAAAATATTAATTACTACTCAGAGGAGTGATAGTAAATGAGTGAAAAATAACCCAGAACTCCAGCATCTAAGCTGGTTCTTAGTACACTCTTGTCTTTTCTTTCTTTTCAACAAGACAGATGCTGCTGTGACCTTCATCAAGGACTTCCTGGCAGGTGGAATAGCCATGGTCATCTCCAAGACTATAGCACCCATTGACGGGGTCAAGTTGTTGTTGCAGGTGTATTGAGCTACCAAGCAAATTGCTGCAGTTTTCAATATAAAGACGTTGTAGACTGAGCAGTTTCTATCCCCAAGGAGCACAGAGTTCTGTCTTTTTGGCAGGGTAACATGGCCAGTGTCATCTGATACTTTCCCATCTAGGCTCTTATCCTTGCCTTCAAAGATAAATAAATACAAGAAGGTCTTCCTGAGTGGTGTGGAGAAGAGGACCCACTTTGGTCATTACTTTGCAGGGAATCTGACATCAGGTAGTGACTCTGGGGCCACGTCCTTGTGTTTTGTGTATCCTCTTGATTTTGCCTGGACCCATTTAGCAGCCCATGTGGGTAAAGCTGGAACTGAAAGGAAATTCAAAAGCCTCAGTGACTCCCTGGCTAAAAATCTCCAAATCTGATGGGATTAAAGGCTTGTACCAAGGCTTTAACGTGTATCTGCAGGATATTATGAGCTACCAAACTGCCCACTTCAGTAACTGTGACACTGCAAAGGGAATGCTTCCAGATGGCAAGAATACTCACATCCTTATCAGCTGAATGATGGCATAGTCCCTTATAGCTGTGGCTAGGTTGACTTCCTATCTGTTTGATGCTGTATGTCACCACATGATGATGCAGTCAGGGCACAAAGGAACTGATATGTACACGGGCATGATTGACTGCTGGAGGAAGATTACTTGTGATGAAGTAAACAGTGATTTTTTTCAAGGGTGCATGTTCCACTGTGATCAGAGGCGTGGGTGCTATCTTTGTGTTTGTCTTGTATGAAATCATGAAGTTCACATAAGTCATTATGTGAACAGGCATGTTGTATTATAGAACATATTTTGAGCATTCTTGACAGACTATTGGCTATCACTAGTAACTGTGGGTTGAAAATGGAAAGCAATGATATTCCTATGACCATTTTTCTCTTAAAGTCATTTCTGTGGTGATGATGATGATGAGACTCAATTATGTTATTTTAGTCACTCCTGATAAAGAACAAATTAGAAGAAATAAATATAAAAGAATGAAAGTTAAAGGAATGAAATTAAGAATATTAAACTATGGGAATTAAGGGATTTTCATAGGAGTATGGTTGATAGCTAGATACTAAGCAGCCTTTCATATAGAAATTAACAGATGATTACATAGGTGTATAAAATTTATTTATGCATACAGGAACTGGGGTGAGGGCCAGATGTGCGGGGTGGTGGTGGGGTGAGAGGATTCACCAGAGACAGAGTGGGGAGCAGAACAGGTGGGTCTACTGAAATATACTGCTGAGGAGAGCAACCAGCGAGGTCTGCTGTGCCATGTGGGTCTCCTCCCTGGCTGGGGATTGAACTCATGATGCAATGACTGGTGATAGCTTGATAGTACTGAGACTTTAACACCTGTGTCACCAGGGAGGCCCTGGATTCTGTATTTTATATGGAAATTAATAGAAGTTAGAATGGTCAAGAGTTGAAGAACAACAATTCTGGAGCACTTTTATTTCAAGACTAAAAAATTTAAAAATTTAAAGAAAGGTAAATAGATCAGTGGAACAGAATAGAGCATTGAGATAGACAACTGGTTATGGGAAAAAATGACCCTGATCTCTGCCTCACACCATATACAAAAATGAATTTGAGATGAATGTTAGCCTTAAGTATGAAAGCTAAAACTGTAAAGCTTCTAGAAGAAAAGGCAGGAGAAAATCTTCATGACCTTTTGATTAAGCAAATCTTTTTTAAACATAAAAAACACCAACGATAAAATAAAATTTTCACAGTTGAACATCAAAATAAAAAAATTTCTCTAGCCAAAAGATATTAAAGTGAAAAGGTAAGTCACGACTGGGAAAGGTTATTCTAAATTTGTATGTTGTCAAAAAATCAGGTATAAAGAACTTCTGTACATCCAACAATCCTGTTTATAAAATGGACTCTTAGTGCCTGGCAACAGAAGTTGTTCAATATCACTACAGGTCAAGGACATGAAAAATAATACCAAAAGGAGGTATCAATGCACTGCCACCAGAAGGGCTAAATTTAAAAAGACTGACAACACCAAGTGTTTCAATGGTGTGGAACAACTGACCTCCATCGCCGATGGAGTATAAAATGGTATAGTTACCTTGGAAAATTGTTTAGCAGTTCTCATAAAAACATACTGCTAATCTATGACCCAGTGATTCCACTCCTATGTTTATACTGAAATGAGTCCACAGTAAGACTGGTACCCAAATGTAATAGCTTTATTCATAATTGCCCCCAAATTGAAAAAGAAACAAATGCCCATCAACAGAAGAATAAACTGATCTATGCTTAAATATTACACAGCAATAAAAAATTGATATGTAACAATGGATAATTCTTGAAAACATGTTGAGTGACAGATGTCAGACATAAAAGAGTATATGCTGTTATAAACAGGCATTCAAAAACATGTATTCTGACTTTGAAGTTAGAATAGTGGTTCCTTCTGTTTTCTTTTGCCTGAGATAAACTGTTTGTTCTACATTTGAATTGGTGGTGGTTACATAAGCTGTATGTTTAGGATGTGAGCATTTTGCTCTTTATAAACTATACCCTCAATAAAGAAAATGGCAACCACAGATTATTTAGAAAATTTTAAAAGAGAACACTTAATATCAAACTCTAGTGAATAGTTAAAGCTATACTCAGAGGAAAATTAATAGTCAATATTTTTATTATTACAAAATACTGAAAATAAATGAATCTATTTAATTCAATAAGCTAATGATAAGAAAAGAATAAAGAAGAATGTTGAAACTGAAGCAGAGACTTAAAAAGTAGGAAAATGAGTAAAAGAAAATTATTCTTTGACATGAATAAAATAGAGCAGCTAATAAGTTGAGAAAATATCTGGGTTACATCAGCAGTTCATGTGATTTTTGTCTTTTTTTTTTTAAGATTTATTTATTGATGCATACAAGAGCTGGGGTACAGGCCAGAAATGGGGAAGGGCGGTGAGAGGATTCACCAGAGAGAAGGAGGAGCAGAACAGGCAGATCTACTGAAATACACTGCTGAGGGGAGCAGCGGGTGAGTCAGGAGAGGTCTGCCTCGCCATGTGGATTGCTCCCTGGGCGGCTGGGGATTGAACTCGTGCTGCAGGGGCTGCGGATTGCTTCATAGTGCCGTGCTTAACTCCTTGCGCCACCAGGGAGGCTCCTGATTTTTTTCTTTAAGTCTTGATGGTCTAAACAATAACAACAGAATCTAGTGTGGGGTTCATTCATTGATTGCATTAAAAAAAACCTGTTGACTATCAATATCAAGACATTCTTTTAAAATTTTTTTACATATTTTTAGTATATATTATACAAAACTATATATATATACTATATATGTGTATATGTAAGCTTGGAAAGACAAGACTGATATCGGCTGTCTAGCAGATAGCCGGTGCCAGTCGCTTACAAGCATTAGCTCATTTCATGCTCGCAATGGCTTTTGCAAGGTAAGTACCGTCTTCGTCTCGGAGATTATGTTACTTCAGGCTGCCTGCTCAGATGTAGCTGTGAATTCAAGGCTGGCCCAGTTCTGGAAAGTAGGAAGAAGCCCTCTGGATTCGGAGGGGATGCAGGCCCGTCAGCAGGTGCAAGTGGTACTGGGAGCGGAGGCCCAAGGCGCGGTCCCGTTAGGCCCACAGGCTGGAGCCGGCAGGTGCAGGCCCTGACTCGGACGGGCCAGCTGGGTCTCTGGTGCGCCGAGGGCCGGCCCTGGGCCAGGTGCGGCGGGCCGGAGCCGGGGCGCGCGGGCGCAGCGCCCCCTGGGCGGGCAGGTTGGCAGGCGGGCGGGGGCGCGCGCCTGGCGGCGGGGACGCGCGGGCGCTGAGGCCTGCGCGCCAGGCTGCGGGAGCCATGCGGCGGGCCAGGAGCAGCGCGGCCGCCAAGCCACGCGGGCAGAAACGGCCAGGGGCCTCCGGGGCCCCGCGGCCACCCCCTCGACCCCCGCCACCAGCCGCGCACGGCGCCCCGCAAGCCAGGCCGGAAGCGGCAGCCGCGCGGCGGCGGCGAGGCAACCGTCGGCCAAGAGGCGGCCGCGGGAGTCCCCGCCGCGGGTCCAGGAGGCGGGCCGCGGGGAGCCGCCGCCCGCGCCCGCGCCGCTGCCGCGGCCGCCGACCCCGCCGACCCCGCCGTCCTCGGTGTCCACGCTGGAGCTCGGCGAGCAGCGGGAGCGCTGGGAGACGTTCCAGAAGCGGCAGAGGCTCACCTTCGAGGGCGCCGCCAAGCTCCTGCTGGACACCTTGTGAGTGCGGGGCGCGGGCGGTGCGGGAGCCGGCGCCGCGCAGACGCCCCTCGGCGGGAGTCGGGCTCGGCCGCCCTCAGCGCGCCTCCCGTCTGCGCGCGGCGGGCCGGGCTTGCTGTGCCGTGATTTTCCCATACGTAGGCGGCGCCTTCCCGCGGCCGCACCTTGCCGGTTCCTAATTCTAACGGCCGCGCTCGGCCGGGCTTCGCCGGCGTGTGCGGCCCGCGGCCGGGCCCTGGGCCGCGGAGGGGGCTTCGCGCCAGGGAGGCCGGGGACGCGCCCGGAGCGTGTGGGGGCACCCGCGGCGCCCCGGGACACAAAGGGCCTTTCCCGGGGACAGCCATCGTGCTGGGGATGTTGCCTGTTGTCTTGGCGCGCAAGGGGTGCGGGGGCTCTTCCCAGTGAAAAGAAGATAAATCCCACGACTGAATCGCCTTTTGGGTTTGCGCGCGTGTTTCTGGAGAGTGGGTGGAAGGGAAAGGTAGGGGTGCTGAGAAAAGCTTGCAGTAGTTTTGAGCCGACCGGGAGGCGAAGTCCCGTTATTGTTGCCGGCACTCCTGCGAGGCGCGGGCGGTTATTGCTCCGGAGGGAAGCGCGCGCAAAGTGATGCTGGGGGCTCAGCGTCGCCGCGCGGGGACGGGGCGGAGGGAGGCCTGTGTTCTCCGCCAACTGATGCTCCTGGGGCGGCTCGCCCTCGTTTGTGCTTCCCCACTTTGATAACTGCAGGAAGAGAACCTCCAGTTCCTTAGATGGCCAGAGGAGGATCTCGGAGTATCCATGATCCGTGATGTTGGAAACGAGCTAATCATCTTTTTCTCTGGCAGGACTGCCTTGTTTTCTTCACATGTGGTTGCGTCTAGGTCCCTACCCTACAGAACAGCTGTGCTACAGAGAACTGTTCCAGCACCCCAGTAATAGAGCTGTGTTGATTATTTCGTGAATTAAAAAGAACAGTCAGTCCTCCACAAAAATACAAGAACAACCTAACAATTGCATAACAACCTGAGGATTGCTGCTTTTCTTGAACAAAAATGTTTCTTTGTTCTCGTTCTAGAAGAAATTCTCTTAGGATGAGTCTACTCAAAAATGGTTTTCTGTCTGGTTCACTTTTTGATTGATTATTTTGGGTCATGGACGAAATGGTTTTTTATATTCAGCATCCATTAAACATTTTTTGAGCATCTATGTTGTTTTGAGCATCTATGTTTTGAGCAGCTACTTGTAGGTGTAGGAGATATTAAAGACTCATGCTTGAAGTAAATTTTTTTACTTTAGAGAAAACTGATAAATGGTCAGGAAAATAAAACGTATTTTTATTTCTCATTGGCATGAGTACTTACATTTATTAAAAAAATAAAAATTCACTAAATTAATATGCAAGAAGAATGTATAACTATTGTTTTTGTTACAATATTTCATGGAAAAAAAGCATGGTGGGAATTTATAGCAAATAGCTGTGGATCCCTCTGGATGTTAGCATTATAGGACACTTTATTTTTGACATTATCAGAGGTTTGGATATCTTACAATAAGTATTTGTTTATGCAGGGTATAAATGTATGGGTGTATATTTTTAGATATGTAAAATAACAAATTAACTGATTCAGCTTCTAAAAGACACTTGAAAAAATATTGCATTTTAATAACCCAACAAATGCATATTAAAACTGCAGCAAGCTATTTTTCCTATCATTATTGCTTGAGAAGGAACAGTGAAGTGTTTTTCTCACGCATTACAGATAAGAGTGGTAAGCCTCTGGAAAACAATTTGATAATATTTTTCAAATCTGAACAAATAATATTCAATTAAGGACCTGACTTAAGTTTTAAAAGGATTAAAAGTGCATGTAATGTATATATATAGCGCTATGTAAAAAGCCACGAGTGTGGAAAAATACTGGGGAGAATATAGCTAAGAAAGCCTTTGTTATTTTCTCTAAAGAGTTTTCTGAGCCACCAGATTTGGTCAGGTCCCTTTGTCTTACTTTTCCACTTTGGCCTGTATTGCTTTTATCACTGTCATTTAAATACTATTTGGATAATTTGTTTGATGGCTGCTGAGGATCTTTAAGGCCAGGAACCATGTCCGTTGTATCTAGTTTGCTGCTTTCCCCATAGTCAGAAAAATTCTTAGTAGGTATTTGACATATAGATAAAAATGTTTGAGTGGTATGAGTTAGATCCTCCTCCTCCTCCCAACTTTCATTTTTCCAGATTTATAGAATGCTTTATTTTACAATTTAAAAAAGTATATATAAGAAAGGGAGAAGAGAGAACTCACAAAGTCACTGAATCCACTTGTAAAACTGATAGTGCCTCCTTGAAAGCAGAAATATACCTTGTCATAGTGTAGGAAAGACTTGTCCCATCTTGTTCAACAACAAGGAGAGAAAGCATGAACTACAGAATAAGGTCCTGCTGATTATTCAGAAATCCTTATCTCTCTGATTTTTGTCTCATTTAGTGAATACCAGGGCCTGGTGAAACACACAGGAGGCTGCCACTGTGGAGCAGTTCGCTTTGAAGTTTGGGCCTCAGCTGACTTGCATATCTTTGATTGCAAGTAAGTGTTTTCTCTTTCCAGGTTGGCGAAAAGGATTTAAGTGTTAAAATGCAATGCTTCATAATCATCGGGGGAGTTGGAGTATAGCTGAAATAACATTGGCCATGAACTTCTAATTGTGGGAATCAGGTGATGAGTATATAAAGGTTCATTGTTCTTTTCTTTCTTTTTTGTATGCACTTGAAGTTTTTAATAGAAGTTTTTACAAAGATGTAAGGAGGCTAAGAATAACTGTGTCTCGTGTGTGTGTGTGTGTGTGTGTGTGTGTGTGTGTGTGTCTGTCTGTCTGTCTGTGTCACACAGACAGCTCACTCCTACAAACACAGCCCCAGATAATGCAGAGTAGGGTCCTCTGGTCTGTACCTGATAGACTTCATCCCTCAGACTAGTAGCGCTGGTGGGTCAGGGGAGAAGTAGGGGAGCTGAAGGAAAAGCTTTGGGTAGAGTCTTCAGAGTTGAGGGGAGAACGGAGGGATCTGTATGCTTGGAAGCTTACAGTGCCCCAGGTGCTCTCAGCCTGTCCTTCTACGTAAGGCAAATAGTGCTGCTAGGAACTGTGGAGGGCCTGCTTTTTAGCACTGTCTCCCACATCAGGCTCTGACTTCTAGGAAAGAGGGGGACCCAAGCTTCCTTGTCCATTTTTGGTGTGGCTGTATCAGAGGCATAAGATGGTAGCAATGCCTAGAAGGTTTTTTCTGTCTCTGTGGTCCAGCAGCTCTTTTCAATGCAGCAAACTGAGAAGTAGGCAGTTGGTTGTAGCACCTGTGGGCTCTTCTGTACATGCCCCAGGTCGTCAGTCCATCTAAGCTCTTCCTCCTGGATGTTGTGGAAAGGGGCCTCACCTATGGGATCAGCTGGCTCTCAGTACGTACCAGTTTGTGCCTCTTGGCATTCCAGCTGTAGATGGCTATTAATGTCAGATTTATTCTGTCTTTTTGTAGCTGCAGCATTTGCAAGAAGAAGCAGAATAGACACTTCATTGTTCCAGCTTCTCGCTTCAAGCTCCTGAAGGTTAGTGCTAAGAGCAGGCTGACGAGCACAGAGCCTGCTGGTAAGACCTGAGTTATACAGCATGTCTCCTGTGGAGCGCAGAGGGTAGGCAGCATGCCAGGGCCTCTTGGGTGACTTTAAGTTCTCTTGTCACCCAGGTTTCATGTTTACTTTTTTGAAAGTTATGTTATTTTTCCCTTTTATATTTTGGATGATATTTGATATTATTGTGGGAACATTTTCAAATGCAGAGAATCAAAATATAAGATCATTCAAATCCTAACTCATTAATATTTTGGTGTACGTACTTGTATATTATTTCCTACATAGGTAAATACACTTAAATATGCTGTATGTGTTCTTATCAAAGTAAGAATCTACTTTTCTGTTTCCTAACTGACTTTTGTCATTCCCCAATGATAATTATAATTTTAAAACTGTTAACTTTATTATTTAGGGGAATTTTTTGTGTTTGGTACAGAATTTGAAAGGGTCAAAAGTGTGTGTGTGTATGCACAGTGAAGTCTTCCCTTCACAGTCCCTTCACCCCTAAGTATCTTCTCCCTCACAACCAATTTCTTTATTTACTTACAGTTCTTCCTGTATTTGTGGCATGCTTTGTTATTTGAATGAACCATAAGCAATTTTTAACTTTGAACTTCTAGGTTAAATGTAATTTTTTAAACCCAGAATATGAATTCATGTACTTATTTTTAATTTATTATTGAAGTAATACTGATTGAAAACATTGCATAGCGTCATAGTGAGCATTATAATAAGACATTTGTGTGTACTACATTGTGATCTCCACCAAAAGTCTAGTTTTTTTCCACCACCATGCAATTAATCTACTTTATCCTGTTTCTCCACCCATTTCTCCTTTCCCCAATGGTGACCATCATTTTTTTTCTAATAACTTAAAAATTTGTTCTTGTTTTTGTTCATTTGCTTTGTTTCTTTATCTCGCACATGTGTGAAATCATATGGTATTTGTCTTTCTCCTTCTGACATGTTTCACTTGGCATAATACTTTCAAGGTCAACCCATGTTTTTGCAAATAGCAAGATTTCATCTTTTTCAAATAGCTGAATAGTGTTCCATTGTGTATATCTGTATACCATATCTTTATCCATTCATCCATTGGTGGGCAATTTTCTATATTTGAACTTCTAGGCTGAGTGCAACTTTTTTTCCTATTATAAATAACACTGTGAAGAACCTTCCCTATGAATAAATCTTTGATGATTTAGAAGTTTTAGGATGAGTCTGTTAGAAATAAAATCTCTGGTCAAAGAACAACAAAAAGGCTTTTGGCACACTGTTGTTAACATGGGGTGAACTTCTATTCCACCCTGGTTCCTGGTGCCCCCATCGTGGTCTGACAGACCTATCTGTGTCTGTACCATGGCTTTGGTGTAATGATCTATTTCTGTCTCTGTCCTCTACTAGAGGAGGTCTTTCTCCTCTACAAGCATCACTGTTTCTCACATCTGACCCAGCTCCTGGCCTCTAAGGCTTAGCACTGAGTAGTCACTCAGTGAGTGTCCAGAGGAATGTTTGAGTGAATGACTTTGGGAGTCCTGTCCTTTACTCATTAATGAGATTTAATCCCAGATGCTTTGGGCCAATTCATTTTTTTGTCTGCCCCTTGATTCATTAGAGTGTTTGGTGGGGGTGGTGGGGCAGGTGGGCAGTATAACTGTCCTCATCCCTTCCTTAAGCCCAGATGAATACCCGGGTTCCCTCTTAGGATGCCTGCTGGAGACCATGGCCCTAGTCTATCTCTGCCCCTAAGCACCTATGGCAGATGGTTCCTGAAGATGTACTAGGTGCAGCCATGGGTCTTGGGTCTCAGAATTGCTGCTTCTCCCAGCTCCCCCCCTTTTTTTTTCCTTCTTGGACTTGCTAATCAGTGTATTTTCATGGTGCTTTACAGCACTGGCCCATTGAAGGAACAATTTTATGATTGATGAAAGAGAAAGATAATTGGCAGAAACCATTTGTTTTAGGGGTACAACTTAATGCTTCACTATGTATATATGTTATGAGTTTTTTTTTATTGAATACTTATTTATTCAATAAGTATTAATGGATGCTTACTGTGTGCCAGTCACTGTTGCACTGAAACCCAGCAGTTAACATGACAGTAACAGATCTTGTTCTCTTGGATCTTATATTCTATAGGATGGAGACAGATAGAATAAATAAGAAAAATATGCAATAGTGCTATATAGAGAGTTAAAATGAGAAATATGATAAAACGTTTGTGAAAGATTTTTTTCATAGTACAACGGGCTGAAGGGTCAAATGCTTGGCATGTCTGAGTTACTCCTCCACAATGGCCATTGTGGCTGGAGAGTAGTCAGTGGTGTAAAGAGGGCGTGGATGAGATGAGGTTGGAGAGACAGGTGGTCTCCAGACAGGAGATGGATTTTATTCTTTGTGTAGTGTGAAGCCTGTGGAGGATTTTTAAGCACTGTAGTAACCAAACCTGCTTCTGTTTTTTAAAAACTCATTTTGGTCGCTATGTAGAGAAAGGATTGTAAGGACAGAAGTACAAAGATAGGGAGCTAGGAGATTGTTGGGGTGTGCCAGGTGAGAGATGATGGGAACTTGGATTAGGAAGGTAGTGACGGAGATAAAAGAAACTAGATGATTGGAGAGAGCTATGTTTTGAATAAATAATTGAATGTATATTTTAGAGCATTGATTCTCAAACTTCAGTTATGTACATAATCACCTGGAGGGTATGTTAAAACAGAATGCTGGGCCCCACTCCTAATTTTGATAAGTCTGAGTGGGGGCCTGAGAATTTACATTTCTTACAAGTTCCCATTTGTTACTGATGCTTCTGGTCCTCACATTGAGAGCTACTGTTTCAGAAAAAAAAGTGAACAGAACTATATAAAGGATTGGATGTGAATGAGGAAAGAGAGAGGAGTCAAAGTTACACCTCCAGTGTTCGGCCTGAGTGGAGTGCCAGATCTGGGAGAAGTGGGTATCGTAGGGCACTGGAATCAAGAGCTCTTTTTTTTTTTTTAAATGTTCAGTTCCAGATTTTTGGAACATTCAAATAGAAATAGGAAATGGTCAGAATGGTGGTGTGGAGAGAAAGCAGAACTGGAGCTACTGAGTTGTTGACATATTGATGGAAGAGCTGTGAGACTACCTGGGTGGTTGTGTAGCCAGAGGAGGGAGAGGGTTGAGGACAGAGCCCAGGGCTTACCAACATTTGTAGGGGAAAAAAAAAAGGAAAGAAGCAAGCAGAGGGCCCTGAGGAGGAGAGCCAATAAGGAAGAAAAACCAGGCAAGTGTGGTGTCCTCAAAACAAATGCTTCAAAATGTAGAATCCATTTCTAGAAATACAATTTCTGTTTAATGGGTTTAGACATTTTGGTAGATGTTGCCATATTTTACCAATTTATATTCCTATCGCTGATATATTAGAGTGCATGCTCATCAATACCATGTTAACCAACTTTTTTTTTCCCTATCTAACAGTGAACAATATCTCATTGTAGTTCATGAGCATGAAAATCATTTCAAAGGTTAAAGACGATTTATTTTTCATTTTTCTGAATTGTCCCTTCTTTTCCTTTGCCCAGTTTCCTATTTGTATTATCTGTTTAGGAAATTAGCTCTTTGCTTCTTATTTGACTAGTATTCTACTCCTAGCTTGTTCTTTATAGATTAATTCAAGTACAAACAACAGTTTTCTTAAAACCATATTTGGGGGCCTCCCCGGTGGCACAGCTGTTGAGTGCTGGGTTGCGAAGCTGCCCGCAGCCTCTGCGGCACTGGTTTGATCCCCGGCTGCTCCCCGGCCACCGAGGAGGGTCCCACATGGTGCGCAGACCTCTCCTGACGCCCGCTGCTCCCCTCAGCAGTGTACTTTGGTCCTTCTCCCTGCTCTGCTCCCCACTCTGGCTCTGGTGAATTCTCTCACCCTCCCGCGCTTCTGACTGTACCCAGTGCTTGTATAAATAAAAATAAATAAATCTTTAAAAAAAAACATATTTGGGAACATGGAGATCAGTCCCTAGAATTGTCCCTTTATTTAGGCCACAGGAAACAGGAAGTTTCACTCCCTGCTGTCTTGCCATGGATTGGGAAAAATTCTAGGCCGAGTAGTTCTGTGTGCAGTTGACCTCGGAAAAGCCAGACTGACATGTTTCCAGGCAGTGGAGATGGGTTCCTGTCCTCAGGAAGCCTCTAGTCCTCATAAGATTAGACATGTCCTCATAATCCTGAGAGCCCTACAAAAGATTTTCTCCCCACCCGAACTTTAAACAAGTTTTTTTTTTTAATGAAAAAAAAGAGGAAATCTCTTTGTATAAAGAGAACACCTATTTTTCTGTTTTCACTAGGGAGCCGAGAGTTTAACCACATACACGTTCAACACGCACAAAGCGCAGCACACCTTCTGTAAGAAATGTGGTGTTCAGAGCTTTTACACTCCCCGCTCAAATCCTGGAGGCTTCGGTAAGTGAAGGGAATGTGGGCCAAAGCTCAGGAGGGACATGGAGAGGCTCCATGGCTGCTCTGGGTTAAAACACTGACTGGAAATGTGGGTGCTGGCATATTGGGCTTGCCTCCTGCTTGGCTAGGCCCTTTCACTGTGTACTTTAGAAGAACAAGGCACTTAAGCAGAGATATTTTTCAAATGATGGAATGTAAGACTGACTCTCATCATTTGGAGACCAGCCAGATCCTGATTCTCATTTACTGGTGCTGCCAGGGCCTTTTGTTGCAGGGTAGGGCATTGAGGGTGAAGAGCGGAGAGTAGATGGGCCTGTGGGGTGGAGGAGGGAATGTCAACAACAAGGCAAAAAATGAGGAGCATTAATAATGCCATTAAAATTTTTTTGGTTTATAGAAGACACAAAATGGAGAACCTGCAAGCTTTCTTAAGGTCCTGTGTGGAGCTGGGAGCAAGGAATGTAGAGTGTTATTCAGAATGACATCACTTGCAGTGTGAATTGAATGGAAAGTAACTGTTGAGATGTTCCTGAGGAGCTGTTCTCTGTATGCAGCCTCCAGAACTGTGGTGGGGCGGCTAGGACTGGCCATCTTGTGCCTGATGGTGTGTGGAGGTAGTATTCATCACCCTCCCTGCCTGATTTCTTTAGCAGCTCCTGTTTGCTCCTCGTCTGTCATGTGGAGGCTCCTTCCTGCTTTCCTTGAGGAAAAGGAAAGTCTTTTAGAAAGTATAAGTCATTGCAGATGGGGAGATATTTAATTCTTAGAAAGTTATCTGTCTGTACCCTGGGAAAGGCCTGTGAATTCTTCAGGCCCCCAGTCAGAGGTTGCTCTAAGCTTGAGTCTTTTCACTCTTGTGTTCTTGGGCTGGTATTGAATATGTCCAATGCCGGCCACCCTGGTTTTCAAGAAGTCTAATGCCATTTGAGAGCTGAGGAAAGTAAAGCTAGGAGGCTGATGTTGTAAGTTATGGCACATCACTTGGAAAACCTGATGGTAGCATAGCAATGCTGGAGGTGTGGGTTTGTCCCCACACTAGTACGGTACTTGGTCTCACTCATTCTTGGGACATCCCTTTCTTTGTGTCACTTCCCTCTAGGAATCGCCCCACACTGCCTGGATGAGGGCACCGTGCGGAGTGTTGTCATTGAGGAATTCAATGGCAGTAATTGGGAGAAGGCCATGAAGGAGCACAAGACCATTAAGAACATGTCTAAAGAGTGAATCCCTGCTTCTCCCTTCCTGAAAAGGAGGAATGATTGGGGACAGCAGTTTCTGTCCCCGCTGCACCTTGATGGTGCTCACGAATGTGGCTGAACCAGGCTGCCAGTTCCATGGGCCAGCAGTCACCTCATTTGCTCCAGCTACCACTTTCTTTAGGCAGCTCTTTGTCCTTCCTTAACCCAGATTTTGATGTAGACTTAGTTGACATCCTTCTTTCTCTTCCCCAACTTTTGTGTGAACTTTTAGAAAAATAAATATTTTTAACATTAAAGCAGTTATTATGGTTTATCATTTTCTTTGCACTTTGATTTTACCCCTGAGCAGTCATTTAATAGCAGATATTTATTGAGCATTCTTAAGATGCTTGCAAGCAAATTGGGAAGGAGAGATAAGAAGGCAGAGTTATTAAAAATCTAAGATTGTAAATGATTGCAATCCTGTGAGTTGTAATACGAACAGTAGGAGTTAACAGAGAGAGGGGTTGGTCATGGGAATCTTGAGGAGGTCTTGTGTGTGTGTGTGTGTGTGTGTGTGTTAAATCAACTTTAACAAAAATTTGTGGTAAAATACATATAACAAAATTTGCCATCTTAACCATTTTTAAGTGTACAGCTTAGTAATGTCAAGTACATTCACATTGTTGGTGCAGTCAGTTTCCAGAACAGTTCATTTTCAAAAACTGAACCTCTACTCTCATTAAAATACAAATATGAGTCTGTTTTCAAAAGAAGTAATATTTAGGAAGATAGAAGAGACAAGTATGGGCACATATTAAAGCCAGGCTGACTTGGAAGCTTGTGATGGGGAGAAGTAATGGAAGAGATGAGAAAGATGTGTTGAAGCCAGACTGTGAACCGTCTTGGATATTAGACTCAGGAATTTGCCTGTATTTTATAGGCATTGGGAGGCCCTGACCAGCTTTAAACAGGATGAATAATGCCTGGCCTGTTGTGCAATATTTTGACTGGTCTTCCTGTGCCCCCTCTTTCCTTGTTTCACGTTACTGTGTTATAATCAGGTTAAATTTCCTTAAGTGTTCCTTTCATTACCAAATGCTTAATAAATATTTGTTCTTTGCTTTAGGAAAATTAATCATGAAATAATTTGTAAGGTAGACTAGACAAAAAAAAGGGAAGAAAGGAAATACAGACCACCACCTCTTCTGAGTCATAGTCATCTTGTTGGCCGACAGCCACATTCAGACTTGAAACTTGGAAGGAGGTGGTAAAAATCTATGCAAGTTAAATGTTAAATATATTTTGGTACAATGAGTGACCCTTCTAATCTAACTTTCCTACTGCAATATTAGTAAAAAGACAGTTTTGTGTGTCTTTTAAAAGCATACATGGCATCATACTGTTCCTTTTGTTCTGCAACCTGCTTTTTTATTTGAATATTTATTTGCATAATAACATAACATCTATGATCTTTTCATATCATTCACATTATTGACTGTTAAATAGAATTATATAGTATGGGTATGGTTTATTTCACCATTCTTTTCATGGAAATTAGATTTCCAGTTTTTATTTTACAGTGAGTATTGATGAAGAACATTCTTTTATGAGCCTCTTTATATTTGTGTATTTTAGGTAAAGACGTGGAATTTCTGGGTTGAAGATATGTATATTTTATTTTTACTTTTTTATGTTTATTGAGATAACATTAATTTGCAACTATGTGTATGTTTTAGGGGGATAACTTCATACTTCTACAAATATATCATACCTACTTCCAAAGTCCCTATAATCTACCACTACAATTAATTGGGGGCCCCTCTTTATCCATACCCCCATCCTCTATTCTGATAATTTCAGTTCTACAGTCAGATTTCAAGGGTTTGTTTTGGTTATTTTATTTATTTATTTTGGTTTATTTTAGTCTGTTCCTTTGCTTTGTTTCTTTGTATTCCACATATGAGTGAAATCAACTAATATTTGTCTTTCTTCTCCTGACTTATTTAGCGTAATTCCTTCCAGTTCCATATGTGTTGTTGTTAAATGGCAAGATTTAATCCATTTTATAACTGAGTAGTATTCCATACTACATCTTTTTTTTTTTTTTAAAGATTTATTTTTTTTATTTTTATACAAGAATTGGGTAGGCCAGAGATGCGGGGAGTGAGAGGATTCACCAGAGACAGAGCGGGGAACAGAACAGGCAGACAGACTAAAGTGCACTGCTGAGGGGAGCAGCGGGCAAGACAGGAGAGGTCTGTCCTGCCATGTGGGTTTCTCCCTGGCTGACCAGGAACTCAACTCGTGCTGCAGTGGCTGCGGTTTGCTTCATAGGTTGTGTCTTTTTTTTTTTTTTTTTTAATAGAGGCATGTTTTATTTATTTATTTGTCTGTTTGTTTGTTCGTTTTTGTTTATACATGCACTGGGTACAGTCAGAAGCGTGGGAGGGTGAGAGAATTCACCAGAGCCAGAGTGGGGAGCAGAGCAGGCAGAAGGACCCAAGTACACTGCTGAGGGGAGCAGCGGGCGGCAGGAGAGGTCTGCGCGCCATGTGGGACCCTCCTCCGGTGGCCGGGGAGCAGCTGGGGATCGAACCGGCGCTGCAGAGGTCGCCGGCAGCTTCGCAACCCAGCGCTCAACCGCTGTGCCACCGGGGAGGCCCCATAGGTTGTGTCTTAACCCCCGTGCCACCAGGGAGGCCCCCATACAACGTCTTCTTAATCTACTAATCAACCTAAGTGTCATTAGGTTGCTTGACAGATACGTCTTCATTTTCTCACTGCTGAATTTCCCTGAAAACCTCTCCCACTTGAGTTCAGTCCTGTTTTAGAAGCATTGTTTTACTCATGTGTGAAAATGGATTTTCATTTTTGCTCTAATTTGCATGGCTTGGCTGCTACTTAAGTTGACTAGTTTTCCATGTTTATTGGTCACATGGACTTCATCTTTTGTGAATTTTCTATCTTTAATTCTTTTTTTAGGGAGGATGTTTATTATGTTTATATATTTTCCTTTATGGGTTTCCAAACTAACTTGGAGGTAGATAGAGACACACACACACTCCCATTTTTTTTTTGTGTGTGTGTGTGTATGGAAGAACTGGGGTGTAGGTACAGGATGGGGATGTGTGTGTGTGTGAGAGGATTCACCAGAGACAGTGTGGAGAGCAGAAAAGGTGGATTTACTGAGATACGAGGGGAACAGCAGGCAAGAAAGGAGAGGTCTGTTGCGCCACATATTGGTTAGCTCTCTGGCTGGGGATTGAACTTAGGCCATAGCAGTGATAGTGCTGAGTCTTCCAAATTTCTTAAATGATATTTTGTTTTAATTTTTACCTGTAAATCTAAAATTTACATGTATTTTTGTAAGGTAGGGAGTCTTTGCTTTCTTCCAACTGCATGGAAACAGGCATCCTGAAACGAGTTATTAGATGCTTTTTCTGGGGCCTCCTTGGTGGCACAAGGGGTTAAACACCTCCCTATGAAGCAATCCGCAGCCTCTGCAGCACAAGTTCGATCCCTGGCAGGCCAGGGAGCAATCCACATGGTGCAGCAGACCTCTCCTGACTGGCCCGCTGCTCCCCTCAGCAGTGTACTTCGGTCAATCTGCCTGTTCAGCTCCCCACTCTCTGGTGAATCCTCTCACCCCCTGCATCTCTGGCCTGTACCCCAGCTCTTGTATGCATAAATAAATAAATCTTTAAAAAAATGCTTTTTCCACTGAATTAAAGCTTTATCTTTAGAAGTTCTGTTATAATTTGGATCCGTTTCTGAGATTTCTCTTCTGTTTAACTTCTGCTTTACTCTTGTGCTGTATTTTACTGATTTTGTTGCACTGGGTTTATAAGTTTTGATATATAGAAAGGCAGGTTTCACATCTCTGTGCTTTTTAATATTTATACTGGATTTTTCTTGGACATTTCTATTTTTAAAATTTTATCCATTAAGATTTTGACTGCAATTACATTAAATTTATATATTAAGTTTGTAAGAATTGGAATTAACATATATAAATATAACATGTAAATATATAAATTTATCAATTGGAACTTATATATACTATATTTGGTGTTCAATTAACTTTTTAAGTATTTTTATATTAATCAAGCAATGTGGTACAACTCTCCATTTATCCAGGTCATGTGTTATGTCCTTGCATCAAATATTTTAAACTTTAAAAACTATGTTTAAAAGCAGGTAAGCACTAAAACTGGGTTAAGATGCAAATAATATTTGAACTCTGTAGTATTTGCTTTGTATTTACAAGGTTACAATTATGTATTTTAGTAAACTAGGACATTTTAATATCTTATTTTTACACTTTCTTGAATTGAGAAATAATTTACATACCATAAAAGTCACTGTTTTAACACATAGAATTTAATGGTTTTGAGTATATTCAGGTTGTCCAACCTTTACCACTCTCAGAACATTTTCATCAGCCCATTAAGAAAACCCACGTTCATTAGCAGTCACTTACCTTTCCTGTTCCCTTCAGCCCCCTGAAACCATGAATCCAGTTTCTGTCACTATGGATTTGCCTATTCTGGACATCACATATAAATGGAATCCTATGGTATGTGGCCTTTTGGGCCTGGCTTATGCCACTTGGTATACTGTTTTCAAAGCCCTACCTTCTTGTGGCATGTATCAAGACATCATTTCTTTTGGCTGAATAATAAAAGCAACATTTCATTTTTCTTATCAGTGAATGGACATTTGGGTTGTTTCTGCTTTTTGGCTGTTGTGAATAATGCTGCTATGAATACTCATTTACAAGCTTTTGTGTCAACATATGTCTTTAATAGTAGAGTGGAATTCCTAGGAGTGAAATTGCTGGCCAGTGTGGTAAATCTTAAGCCTACTGAGAAGCCATGAACTTTTCCTCAGCAGCTGCAGCATTTTACATTCCCACTAGTAAAATGTGATGATTCTAATTGCTCCATATGTTCTCCAACACTTGTTCTCCCCCCGCTTTTTTAAAATTATAGTCATTCTAATGGGTGTGACATAGTAGCTCCTGGTTTTGATTTACATTTCCTGTGTGTCTGTTATATACATTCTTGGAGAACAGATATTCAAATCCTTTGCTATCATTTAATTTGTCTTTTTTAATCTTTGTCTATCTTTAGTTTGTCTTTTTGTTGTTGAGTTGTAAGAGTTCTTAATATATTCTGGATACTAGATTCATTAGATACATGATTTATAATACTTCTCCCTATTTACTTGCTCAATAGTATCCTTTGATGCACAGAAGTTTCTATTTTTGATTTTGCTGCTTGTGCTTTTGGGATCATATTTAAGAGATTGTTACCTAATCAAGGTCACAAATATTACATCTGTGTT